AGCTCTTGTGTGAGTCAGTCCAGGCAGATGTCTAAGTGCTTACCTGCATGGACCTCACTGGGACTGCTCAGGTGCTTTAAGTTATTCCTGTGTTATTAAAATGATCTAGATGAAAATCTAAGCCCTGAGCCCTAAGCTGTTAGCTGAAGCCTTAGGGCTCTAAGATGAGACTTAGAAGCTCATGTTTGTTAATGAACATCATTCCTTTAGCCTTTTTGGGAATGCATTTTAACCTTGCCACCTGGGCAAAGCTTGTGCATTTGCCAAACAATCAATTGCTGTAGTCTGTAGATGCACAGGACTCCATACAGCCTGTAAAAGAGACTACTTCAGGAAATGGACTCTTCAGTAACCCTCACCTTTTATCTCATAACTGGAATTTTCACTTTCATTTTAAATTAGAAATAATCTAATACTGTCTTGATTACAGAGTGAAAAGATATCTGCTACAGTGGTGTATTCTGTAAGTATCATATCTTACAGCAGGTCTGCCTTTATGCATCCAGTTCTTTCAATGACCCATTCTTGACCCATTCTTTTTGTCTTCTTCATGTGTCTCTCTTACTTCCCAGCATGTTCTGAGGTCTGTTTGGAGCTAGACTGCCTCCTGCATAATCATGTGCCCAGTGCTCCTTATGCAGCTGGGTAGTCATTTCCCCACTGCAGTTAAATTCTGCCCTCTTGCAATAATATGTGTGGTATCCTTTTTCCTAAAGCCCACTTTTACTGTGGCCTTCCACAAGAAGGAGCCAATCTGATAACCAGATATGTGGTACAGTTAAAATCAAGTTATTGAGAACATAAAGCCAAATAATATTTCAATTTTCTGCCCTCCAGTCCTTCAAATGTGAGGAAAAGACAATGTATTTGGAAGTAAATCTCAGTTTTGTATTACTCTTATAAGGAGCTTCCCTTTTACTATCTATGGTGTATTTTGAAAATCTGCATTATAAGGATAAAGTAGGTTTGAGAGGTAATGCCAGGATTGTCTGTCTACACCAACCATGAGAGACTTAATTAATTGCTCACCGGATTTGTTTCAGTACTTCAGATCACAGGTCATGAAAATGTGGTTGAAACTCTCTAAGTTTCTAGTCACACTTTGTGCTCCAAGGAAGACTATCAGCATTAGGTCAGCAAAGACTTGGTCTAGCCAAGTCTGAAAAACCTGCAAGGATGTAGAATTCCACATCTTTAGTTGCCTGTTCTAGTGCTGCTCTGCAGTCATACATGTAGAGCCTTTTAAGAGTAACTAAAATTCACAGCTGTAATTAGTCTGTACCAAGTCAAAAAATATTTCTCTAAGCAGCAAACAGGTACAATAAATTCATAGACATTTTAGTCTGATATAAACCAGTGATAATACTTAAGGAAGTGGAATATAGTGAGAGTGGTACTACATGGCAGTGGGAAAGATTTCTGGGTAATGAGTAAGGCCCTCCCATTATCAATTTCAGTTCAGGTCTACATTTTGACAAATTGTTAGGAAACTATTTCCGTGAAATATTCTTTACTTCATAGCTGGCAATATCAAATTGCCATTTCTTAAATAAGTTGAATGGTGGTGGAAAGGTGCATGCCAAAGGTATAAAAGATCTTTGGTACTGGAAGAAAAGGCTTTTTATTCCCATGTGCCAACATCAGCACCTATTGCAAGTATGAGAAAGTTCAGATTGTAACACAAAATCCCAGATTTAGCCTGCCTTTTAAAAACAGAAATGCCACAACAGAAAATCATTGGTTCTGTAACTTTTTTGTGAACCCAGTACAATTTGCTGAAAAGAGTGTTTCACTACATAAGTCCCTGGAAAATTTTTGTAACCTGTAGGAATGTGTATCTTCCTCTGAGCTTGACAAACTTGATTATAAACAAGAAATACAATTTGTAACATGAAAAACATTGATCTTTATGCAGATTCATTTGCAATGGGTAGCTGTCTTCTTTGTTCTTAAATGTGTTATAATTCACAGCTTAGCTGAATTCAGGAACAAAAAAAATTTTGGACTGAAAAAAACTGTCAGCCTTTTCTAGGTACCTTTTGGTGCCTTAGAGACAAAATGGAGTAAAGTGCTTAGAAAGCATTTGAAGGACTACAAGCATTAGAAGCCAAAACCTACAAGCTATAATGGTGAGATAATCACTATTTTCATATTTTCTTTTGGTGTAGCAGTCACTGTGCCCTCTGCATTTTGTTCCTGTGAGAAATGTCAACAATGTCCCACAATTCATCAAGGAATTGTGCATGTGTTTTCCCTCCTTGTGAAGGAACACAGTCTTTCTGACTGGCCGAGTAGCTGCATCCGCTGCACTCTTTCTTATTGCTTTTATTCAAGATTATAGACTACAGTTTCTGTAACTGATTATCTTTAAGGATGTGATCCAGCCTTCATTGAAGCCAAGGGAGAAACGTGACTGGCTGAAAGGTATTTATTGCTGTAAATGAACTATATGAGTGCATGTGCTTCCAATGGTAAAGCCTACTTGAGAGTCCACTTTGAGGGTGGCATGCTAAAGGCCTTAATTTAAATTCCTTATTGTGCATCTGAGTAGATGGTGTGCTTCAGATAAATGTGGAGAACTTTTGTGCTGTAAAAATAGGGGTCTAATCCACCGTACAACACACATCTTTTAATATTTAAAAGCAACAAACTCAGTGTTTCAATCTGTCACCCTAAAGTAGTGTCTGTGTTGGCACATTAAACTATGTTATTTGTTGAGGAAAGTAAAATTAAATCAGGAAGCTAGAAAATTTTACTCATGTATGCGGGTCTATTCAGACTTTCAAGCTGCATAAAAGCAATTCCATGGTTAGTTATTTATCATTAGATTGAAATCTGTTTTACATATGCTTTGTATTACAGAAATTAGTGTTTCCTTTTGCCTTCCACAGGCTTGATGTTCACCTAATGCTGTTTCCACATAAACATTTTTAATTAGACTGAAAATCTGTCAAAACAACTGATGCAGAATCAGTCTCAGCAGAATCATCTCCAGGATTTGTGACCTAGGTGTCTTTTCAGAAGCATCACCCTTAGTTTTCTATTAAAGGGGTATCACTACATTTTAAAATTTAAATAGATCCTTTGTTAAGTAAAAGACATGCATGAAATTTTCACTGTCTTCATTATCTTATGGAAAGCATTCTTTAATAAGGCATATGTATTCCAAATCCAGGGTAGGTGGGTAATCACTATCCCTTGCATAGTGATTGCCTCTGCCTTAGTAGTTGGTGAATGTCTTTAAATAGGCTTTTGTTAAAATGCTGAAATGCAAAACTGTAATCCAAGTATAATAACAATGGTATGTAAAGATGAATACACTTAAAAACAGTTCCTTCTTTAAATTTACCTCCCTAGTATCTTCTTTCATGGAGAATTTCCTGTACAGATGATGCAGTTGACAAAAGTCCGAGTTCAGAGGGTAGAACAAATGTTCCTAACTAAAGCTTCATGCATTAGCAGCCTCAGCGCAAAAGCTGAACCAAGGAAGAAAGGGACATCCATCTCCCTTCAATTTTTTTGTGTATGCATACAGATGACAAAGGTAATTAGAATACAGTGGCATCTCCCTAACTGCCAGATGGTACCATGACACTTCACTTGCAATAGCTTTAAATGAGAACAGAAAGAAGTAGAAAGAATTTTTTTTTTCTTGGCTCTATGACTTGAGAGAACTACCTTAGAAGTTTGAGCTGGTGGGAGAGCATTGTAAGACGAGAGAAATAGAGAGTGGAAGCCAAGCCACAAATCACTGCAACATTGTGATCCCTTAAGCCCCACAGTTAAGAAAGGGAAAAAAAAAAATTCTCCTTCTTGAGAGTTCAGGGCGGGCAGGGGAAATAAAATGGGTGAACCGCAAGATGGAAAACCGGTTCCAGACTATGATGTTCTAGTGACGCAAGCTGAGAAAGGTGCTGCGGCACAACTGCGCTCTCCTGAGACCCGGCAAGAGTCATTCCTATAGGAAGGAAACCACATGAAGACAGTGAGTAAGGGAAATTTTAACAGTAAAGTAGACTGGAAGAGACTGAAAATCCAAACTGTTTTCGTAAAACAATTCCGTGTCTGAGTGGAAAACAATGAGCCCTTAGCCACAAGTAAAATGACGATAGAGCATGTACTGGGCGTTCTGCTCAATAGCTAACAAAATAAAGGAAAAGAAGTGGAGGGGAAAAGATAAGTAATCCTGTACAAAAATTCTTGGGTGAAAGCTGGTAGGGAAAATTTACTGAATATGTCCATGATGGACATGGGTAAATGGAAGATAGGAGTGTTTCTTGTAATGAAGAATAGATCAATTCCTGGATCAAGTTCTATCTCAGGTACTTAGAAATCTATCAAAAGTGGTCTGAAACCAGAGATACCAGATCCTCTGTCACCCATTATGAGGGATTAATCTGTAAGAGATTTGTAGATAATCCAAAGAAGTAAAATTTTTCTTTTCTTGATCAAGAGACTTTCAGTGTTTAAGTTAAGCAGCCTGAATCATGGTGACTGATAAGAGATGTGGGAGTCATCTTTTCCCCAGTTGTCTCCATTGAAGACTTTTCCCATAAACGTTGAATATGATTCTTGAACAGGATGGTTGAAGAAGGTTAGATGATAAATCATCCTGCCTAGAGATGCCAGCATTAGCTCAGTTGTCATTAGCATTGTTCTAATAATGCTCCAAGTTGTGGGTTTGATCCCCATAGACTTAATGTTCCTTATAGGTCCCTTCCAGTTTTGGATATTCTGTGATTCTGTAATAAGGAATTTACCACGTGGCTTTTCTGAATGAGATGGGGGAATTTAAGAGTCTCTGGACTAGTCTCCCAAACTCTGTTCTGAGATTATAAACTCAAATCCATATAAATGAAGCATTTATTAAAACCTATATGTCTCCCTTATTCAAAAAGCTCTGCATTTTAACTTTTCCATTTTTTTTGTTTGTTTTTGTTTGTTTGCTTGCTTGCTTGCTTTTTCTGTTCCTTTCTTAATTACCTGAGTCTTTCCTTTAGGTTCTGAAGACTGGAACTCACAACAGGAAGATAAATTATTACAGTCTTGGTGCAGATTTGCCTCCTTCCCTGAGATGGAAAATTTACACGAACTAGGTATGGCTTAATTTACTATTTTCATACTTATGTCCTATAATGTTTGATCACCTCTATGAATGCTTAGCTGTGGCACCATAAAACCCTTTTAATACTAAACATTTGCATATGTTCTTGGAACTAGGTTAGGGTGCATACGAGGAGCAAACTGATTCTGATGTGATATGTTAAGAAGACTGAGTTCTAAAATTTGCTGCATTGCTAATGAAATGTGAATTTTAACATAGGTGATAGTGATAATATGTTGTTCAAGACTAGGTAAAAAATTCCTGTAAAAAGCCTTTATTCCCAGAGCTTTTCCATGTGTAGTCATGGAAAAACAGGCAGGTACTTTTATATAAGTGGCAGACAGCTTTTCATTGACCATTCTCTTTACAAGTGCATGAAGGACGTAGTACTTCCAGTTTCAGATCGATCCTAATTTGGTGATATACTCCCAAAGTTTTACCAGTACAATTCTTTCATGTGAGCAGGTGATTTCCTCTTACCTTCCCAAATAACTTTGGAATGTTGTAACCAGGTAGGTCTTTACCTGATTCTGCAACTTGCTGTGGCCTTCATTCCATTGCTGCAGTGGAGTGGCTGTGTGCTCTCTCCCTTGAGCAGAAAACAAACAATGAAGACTGCACACCCTGGAGACTGGGGTTGATATCTGAGGAGCACTGGCATCTTAATCTTAAAAAACATCCCACATTCCTTCTTGATTGGTGAACTGACCTCAAACAGGGTGAATAGAACTGCAGCCTCTTTCTGTATCAGTACGGAAAGAAAGAGAACAACTATTTCTGCTGTTATTTTCACATTAAGAGATATTTTGGAATCCTCATGACTGTATCAGCATGTATCTAAATGTCAGATTTATCCCTGCTTGGTTCCAGACAGACCAAGGTCCAAAGCCTCGGCCATGCCTCAGTCAAAGCTATGGCATTATGTGTACTGTCTGTGGACAAACACATCTCTGAAGAGGAACTCTCTAAAACTTTGTTCTCCCTTTTTGACAATTTCATAGCCTTTACCATTCCTCCATGTAATCCCAGTCTCTGCTTGGAAGAGATCCTATTGGGAAATCCACATGTTTCAAGTAGAGACAGTCTGATCATGCCAGGTGAAAGAGGAATGTTAGTATCTTATTAGGAGGATTCCACATAGCATGTTACCATAAATGGTAAACAAATAGGAATGATCAAAAGCCACCACCCAAGCTGGAGTCCATTTCCATATCATTAATGCACTTTTAAAGCAGATAATTTGCCTACAGGTTCCATCCTAAAGTTTGATCCACAGTTGAGTGGAAACAATTCATTAGTGCATGCTCAGCTGGAAGAATGAAACTTTAACTAAACTTCTTTTGTGTCATATATCACAATAGGTCATAACGGGCCTAATGGGAAGATCAAACCTATTTATATGTGTCAGTGCTTTGCTGGATTTTAATACTCTAGACTTCCAAAAATTAAACTTCAGAATGTTTAACTAATGATACTGAAAGCCAAAGTTGAGGTTGCAAGTACAGAATGATGAGGTCAATCTATCTCGATAAACAGCAATAAAGATATGAATGAGTATATATGTATATATGTATACATGTATACATGTATATATGTATACATGTATATATGTATATGTGTATATATATGTATGTGTCATGTGTATATATATGTGTGTATGTATATATGTGTGTATGTATATATATATATATATATACACACACACATTTAGCCCTATTGAGATTGCAGTGAGATTGCATCTGGAGTGCTGTGTCCAGTTCTGGGCTCCTCAGCACAACAGAGACATGGAACTCCTGGAGCAGGTCCAGTAGAGGGTTACAGAGATGATCAAGGGACTGGAGTATCTCTGTTTTGAGAAAAGGCTGAGGGAGCTGGGGCTGTTCAGCCTGGAGAGGAGACAGCTGAGAGGGGACCTCAGCAGCGTCTGTCAGTGCCTGCAGGGAGGGGCCAGAGGAGGGACCAGGCTCTGCTCGGTGGTGCTGGGCAATAGGACAAGAGGCAAGGGGCAGAAACTGATGCACAGGAAATTCCTCTGAACATGGGGAAGAACTTTTTTAATATGCAGTGACTGAGCACTGGGACAGACTGCCCAGAGAGGCTGTGGGGTCTCCCTCACTGCAGTTATCTCATTTTTTAGATTGCATGCCTGTGCTATATGGTCTAGGATGGCCCTGTTTGGGCAGGGGTGTTGGACAGGTGACCCATGGTGGGCCCTTCCAACCTGACCCATTCTGTGGTCCTGTGACTTGTTCCTTGCTTGGTTGCCAGTTATATTTCATAGCTAGTTAGTTATTGCTAGCTTTATCAACAGTGAGTTTTGTGTTAGGGACACTTAGGAATGAAACAGAGAGATTCAGAGATGAGAGATTATTGATGTAATGCCAAATAAAAGAAATTTATCCCTGTAAAGTATATGAATTATTCATAATGCAATTAAAGTGCTTAAAGCTAAAAGAGGTTCATCTCATGTTTGTTCAGTATGTGATATGAAAATATTTGGTTTTTATAACTAAGTGAATTTATTTAAATCAATAATTAACACACTATACAAAGAAATAGAATCAATATTTTCATAATTTTAATTGTAATTAAATTCTTTTATGTCAATGTTTTTACTTTGACTTATTTAATCTTGGTAAAAATAATAAAAGCCCTTTTTTGAACCATTAATTTACATTTTTCTCAGCTGAAAGGAATTGAAAAACAAATCTATGTCAGAAGTCAATAATGGGGAGAATTATGGAAAATTTAAATCACTTGACATTGTATCTATTTATTATTCTGTACCTTGTCAGCCATAGACCACCCAAATACACTTTGCTTATGAGCAACTGAAAAGGAGATGATATGTGCTAGAATAGAATCTTAACTGAGATTCATCACCCTTGAAGCAGAGGCCGCAGAGAGTAAGAAATAATAACCAGTAATTAATATAAAAACCTAACAGACCAAACAGGTCTACACAGTAAATTTGAGAAGTAGCTATTAAAACTGCTCATGGAGGAATATAGGAAGGAAATTATTTCATTCCTAGTGCAAAAGAATCCAAATTCCTTGGGGTTTACAATGAAGGGCAGCCAAAAATTTTCCATGAAAAGGAAGACCTGTATTAAATAAGTACTTGCCTCTGAGAATGAAATTTGGAGAACCACATGTAAAGAATGATGTATTATTTTTAGCTATACTAAGATACTGCAAAAGTAGGAACACACTTAGTAGTGCTTTGAATTTAATTTATTTTATTTAAGGTGTGTTTCAGTTTTATCTTTTCAATTTTAATTTAATTGAATGCAACAGAAAGACTTCTGATGACCTCTCTATGCTTTGGATTAAATATAACACTTAGAAGAGAAGTTATCATTAGATGGTGCTCACTTATTTTTTCACACCTTTAGACAGCATTACTCAGCATAATATAAATAAAAATTTGGGATCAGAGATTTCTAATTTGTTAAATGATAAAATTAGTTTAATAAATATTATAGCTAACCAATAGAGTTAATTTTAGTAGTTAAGAACCTAAAAAGTGTTTAATTATGAGTAGTCATTTACAAATATGTAAATTTATATATTTATAAATCTATAAATGTTTATATTTATAAATTTATATATGTGTGTATAATGACACATAAAACTTGTCAGCACATGCCAAATAGCCAGAAGCCTATTTTAAATCTCCTTGTCTCATGGTTTTTAGAATGAAATCACATATGCAGATATTGTTATATTGTGGAGATGGTCTGTATCTCTTGATTTCCAGGATTTTCAGTTCTAAAGGTCTCTTGCAACAACTTGTGGCAGAAGCTTCACACACATATCTCTTCTATGCAAAAGCCTCTTGGTATTAAGCAGACTCATCTCTTTATGCTGTAGAGTGCAGAGAGGAAATGAGAATAGGAGTCTTTCATATAGGATGGACGTCAACAGGGTGGACTAAATGCTGGTATCAGGGAGGCTGAAAACACCTCTCTGATTACATAGTACAGCTAAAACTTGCCCTGTGCAGGTTACTTTTGTTACTCTCTTAAAATTCCAGACAGAAATATGCAATTTGCTATCCATCCATCCATCCATCCATCCATCCATCCATCCATCCATGCAAAGATATACACATATACCTATCTATGTAACAAGTTTTGAAAAATTTCAAAAGTGTAGAAGTGAAATACTACCAGAGATTATAACAATCAGACTGCAAGTTATATTGATAAATACAGGGCTTAGAACTCCAGTGGGACTGAAAGGAAAAGATGAGCAACCATATCTAGTTGAATATGTCATTGCAGGGGGATTGGACTAGATGATCTTAATGGTTCCTTCTAACACAATTAATCTATGGTTCTACAATTCTATGATTAATTTTTTTTGTTTCTGTGATTCTAATGAAAATAATTTACATTATTCAGGCAGTTCTTGAGGTAGGTTGAAAGAATATTTGGAATTTAGGTTGTTGTTCAGTCTCTCACAACTCAAGCTTCAGGCACTATGAAAGATTTTTATGCTAGTCTTTGTTTTCTTAGTCAATGAATTTTTTACACAAGGTAAAGAAACCTTAATGAGAATAACAAACCCTCATTCTTCCAGAACTCTATGGTTATCATTCATGCTATTCCTTAATTTTTTCTCTTTCTGTACACTTAGAGAAAAATTATCATGACCTTGGACTTTTCTTTCCATCACTGAGGTCCTCAGATATTAACCTTGCTTAGGTTTGTTAGTGTTATTTAGGCTTGAATTTTATTTAGCATCATCTCACTTTTTCTGCTCTATTGTTTTCAAAAATAAGTTCTGTTGGTCAGCTTCTAGGTTCTTAGTCACAATTCATAATAATTATTCCTCAAGTATTTTAGGTAATTCCTTCACAAATGTAGCTTCTATTAATGAGTTAATGTTTTAAATCACATTATAACTGTAGTTTTATTAAAAAGTCATTAGATAGCCGGTCTTCAATTGTCTCACAGTCTTCAACTGTTTCACAAAATGTGAGAATAAATGTTATGCTTTGTGTGTTCTTATTTCTCAGACTCCTTTAGTAATTAAAATATTTTCTTAAGTGTTTTTTTTTCAAGATCTTACTTGTCAGAAACCAGTTTGGAAAATCAAGTGCTCTTGTTTCTATATCCTATATCCTTGAGCAATGTCTGTCTTTATTTCTGCATGGCAGCCGTGTTGTGTCGCAGCTTCACTTACGATGTTTCATTGGCTGAGTATGTAGAACATGTGGTTTTGGCTGGAATCATTTCTGAACTAGCTGAGACACTGTTGCATAAAACACCAGGGGTATTTTTCTGCTGTGTCATCCACTGACCTCAAAGACAGGAGTACTGAACCAGTTCTCCCATGCAAGTGGTGATGCTTGTGTTATGGTTTTGCTTGGCTGGAAAACTCCTTGGGCACATCACAATTTTGTCTTAGCAGGACAAACCACCTAAACCATGAAATGTAACAAGAGACTTGGATAACCTCTAGTCTCTGTGTGTGCATGTTTTCTTCTCTAAGGAAACAAATGGAATGGTGTTTTACACATCATTACCACTGCTGCTGAACTGAGGCTGATTCACAATCCACTATAGTCAGAGTTTTAGGACTCTTCTTTTTTGATGGGTCAGGCATGAGAATGTCCTCGGTATGAACTGGAAGAGCTAATAGTGTTCTAGTTCCTGATCTTCACTAGGGATGAGAGGGGCAGAATTTAAATCTGGTTGCCATGTATTGTTGAACTGCCCATTTTATTTATCATCTCCTAGCTATGTCATTTTCTTTTACATTTTCTTAATACAGGAAAAGAACTGTCATAAATAATACTGAATATTATTTTTCATATTATTTCTTACAGTGGGTCATTTCCATCTACATCTGCTTCCTTTATTTGTCATATTATTGATTTATGAGCGGAAAATTCAATCATAATATTTTTCAATGACCACTGAAATTTTTCTGTAGTCTCCAGTGCACTCTGAAATACTTCTGAATTTTTCATAGCTCCTTGTCGTTTATCATGTGGGCATTAAGTAAATTTACTGTCTGCTCAAAAGATTTAAAAATAACACTTAATCTCATTTGTTACTTATTAATAATAATAATGTAGATCTTGCACAGGTAATAATAACACTAAATAATTTATTAATTAATTGATAACCATCCTACCAGCCAATAAAATTGTCTGTATTCAGTATGTCTGTATATTGTTTAATGTTTATGTGCTCCAGTTTACATCCAGTTCACTTGCAAGTTTAATCCTTGCTTTTAGGCTAAAATAGTGTAGTGTCAATATGTGGTTGAAATGAGTAAGTTAGTGGCTGCATAGATGTGTGTGAGAACACTGGAGTGTTAGGACTGCTCTTCAGCAATAACTTGCATGACACAACCCAGACAGTAACAGCATGGGAAAGTGAATCCTTTCACGGCTGTTCACTGGGGCTGTTTAATTTATGGGCATACATGTGGGCCATATGACCATGCACTTGTTTAACACCTGAATTCCACTCTAAGCTATTTAAAAATTGTTCCATTAGCAATGTATTCTAGCATTTGACCTAGTCCTATCAGCACTGGAGACTTACCAGGAAAGTAATTATTAACTTCTATTAAACAGAATTACAGGAAAGCTGAGTCTCCTTCAAGAGCAACGCAGAAGGGAAAGAAGTTTGAACTGCAGAAGATACCTTTGGGTAAACTCAGAAAAGGCAAGAAATAGGAAATCTATCCCTGCTGGGAAATCATTTGAAGAAGAAAGTATTTGAAAGAGTAATGATTTTCCCAGCCAAAGTCTGGACCACACAGTCATCCAAAGAACAATACAATATATCAAGTTCTGGAGAGCATAAATACAGAATGTCTCACAAATTATGTCAGTCAGGATTTTGACATTGCAATGATTGAAATACCTATTTAACATATACAAGTCTGTGAGTCAGTCCAATGAATGATATTAAAATTAGACAGATTCTCCAGAAAACTGGTCAAAACCATTTATTTTTTCCTATTATTCCTCACATTCAGTGTAAAGTGAGCCCAAATCTTGGAAAACCTGTCATATTTAAGAAAAGTATTTAAAACTTTCTTAGCTCATGTAATTCTGGAGAGACTGAAAAGGGAAATCTAAAGTTTGAGATATTTTACAGGCATTAGAGAGAGAGAGATAGGCAATCACCAGCCATATGAAGTTCAGCCAGTGGAAGCGCTGGATCCTGCACCGACAGACTGGGGAATGCTGGAGAGCAGTGCCATGGAAAGGGCATTAATTAATGATTAATTAATTAATTAAGACCATTTTACACTCCCCCTTATTTAAAATGCAAAAACTTTCTGATTTCTGATTGAGTATGGCTAAGAGACAGGCATTTTTTTCATTATACAGTCAGTGTCTTCCTGCACCCCCATATAATATGTACATCCTTTTGCTTATATAATGTATCTAGAAGATATATAACATATTTAGAAGATATCTAGAACATATCTAGAAGATATGTAACATACAGTATGTGCATGTTAATTTTTCTTCCCCTGAAAATGAAATAAAAAAATCTTTATGTTTTCAAGTTGTGTTAAACAAAAACTTCTCAATGTGTTTAAAAAAAGACTGGATATGGCACTCAGTGCCATGGTTTAGTTGAGGTGTTAGGGCTGGGTTGGCCAGCATGATCTTGAAGGTCTCTTCCAACCTAGTGATTCTGTGTGTGATTGTGTGTGATTCTCTCTCATGACAGCTCTGTTCTCTGTAAGTGCTGCTTGAGCCTCAGAATCCTTTGTGGACTCCTATTGCCTGCAGAGAGACTCTACTCGTGTATGGTTCATATGCCATAACTTTGTCACTTCTAGCAAGTCTACTGTAGGGAAGAGTGACCTTATTAAACTGATTTATAACTGGAACATATTAGTGAGCTGCTAGTTTAGCTCTCATAATCCATTAGGAATTATTTTTATTTTTTACTTTTGTTATTGATCCTGTTGAACCTGCTGTATCAGACTGAGATATTCTGCTGTATGCAACAGGTACTGTTATTGAGTGCAGTATTTGAGTCACTGCTTTGCTTGTCTCAGCTGGAAGATGTTCTTTGTGTATCTCATAATGACCTGCCCTGCTGACTCACTTGATTCAATCTTTTGAAAAGGACAGGGTTGCTCTCTCCAGTTTATAAACCAGACCATGTTGGGCTGAGGGCTCACTAGCTTTGTAAACAAATGCTGCTGGGCTCAGACTTTTATCTGCGTTTTAAGCCAGTTCTGTATCTTTAAATATGGGATGCATTGATTATCATAGTGTTACCTGCAAATACCTTTTACGTGGCTGTGTCTAAAGCTAATTTTTCTGGTCATGGGAGCAATGCCCAAGAAGCAGGACAGAGGACAAGTAAAATGGCTTTGCTTGAGGAAAACACTGTGAAACACAGCAAGATGCAGAAAGGGAGTTAGCTGCACTATGTGGCTCAAAACTCATGACTGGTCAGAGCTGGAGATCCAGCTTATTCTGGGAGAGAGCAACCAATTGAATTCTCTCAGAGAGAGCCCAGTAACCATGTAACCGTGCTACAGAAAATTTGCAAGACTACAGAGCAATGTAAGCATACACAGCAGTACAGAATAAACACTGGGATGGGTTTATGATGGAGTGCCATCTGCAAAGCAGCAAGGTTCTCTGCAGAGTTTTTTATTGTAGCTGATCCCTATATCTGCAGTTTTGAAAATACCTTCCAGTGGAAGAAGTTAAAATAAAGCTAAAACTTGAAGGGTCTCCAGCTTTCTTTATTATCCCTCAAATTATCACTGATTCAAAGAAAAACTCAAAGCATTCTGTAATGTTTTTTTCTCCATGGTTTTGGCAGCATTACACTGTTGCTGAAGTTCTCCGTCTGTTAAATGTCTGGAAGACCATGTAGATATTACACATAACTAGGGCAGTCACTTCCCTTTGTGTGTGATCCAGCAACCCAGTATGATTTGTGCAATCTAGAATGGCAAGAATTAACATGACACATCTGAGGAAACGTGAGACCAACCTCACAGCTTATAAAACAGAAGACGGTTGATCAAATAAAAACATTACAAATTTTATTTTTCTTGTCTTTGATTAAGCATGACACAGACTAAGAGTGAGAAGCTTATAAAGTCTAGACAGTGCCAGATCTTATAAAGATGCTCAGTATGGGTACCAGGATGTAATTAGCTCATTTCAGCCGCTCATTTTTGCCTGTGGTAGGGTCAGGCCAACTGCAGCATGTGCTGCTCCCTTCTTCTCATCAGAAGTGGATGATAGGATGAGGAATCTGTGGATGAAGGCTATGCACTACAGCACCAAAGCAGCACCTTTTCCACTGAGAGAAGCAATAATGGTATCCCTTTACTTACCTGAAAGTTCAAGGGGATGCTGTTTCCTGACCCACACTTACTCCTGGGACCTTCCATCCCAGACTGTAATGTAAAGCAACACAAAACCAGACTCTGAGATACTGGAATAAAAGGGATCTCCTTTTTGTTAATATTTTTTTTTCCTTGATAGGAACAGGAAGTATTTGATATCTGCTCTGTGCATGACAGAGATGGTCTCTGCTGCAGAGACAGCATTATGCTGTAATTAAAGTAGACAGCATTGTGCTGAGCTTCAGGGAAGTGTGCTACAGCCTGGCTTCACACTGGTGCTTTAGGATAATGGCTTTTGTGAAAAACTGTTAAAGCTATTTGCATCAGGCTACAAGTAGTGCATCTACATAGTGTGGGACATGCTATAACTTTTTCTTCTGCAGAAAAAGACAAACCCAATTTCTTACCCCTTAGAAGGGTGTGAGAATATTTCAGCTCATCCAGAGCCCATCAAGAGATCAATATTCAGAGACCAAAAGGGTTTCTTGTTTTGTAGCCAAGTACCACTTCGCTGAAAAGAAGGAGAAATAACTTGAATTTTGAACCCTTCTCTCAGGAATTATTATATAGTTTGCAAGAGCTAATTAAAAATGTGACGGGAATCTCATAGAGACATTATCTAGTGTTCCCAAAGAACACGTGCTTTAAAAGCTGTAATCAACAAAAATGTCTATCTTCCCTCATGGAAATTATTGCAATACTTTATTTTCTCCAGTGTTAGGAAGACTTTACAGTATTTAACAGGAATTTTTCTCGTCAAAAAATTATTTTTTAAAATCTATTTTAGCCATTGAAACCCCTTTCTTTTTGCAGCAAACTGGTATGTGTTTAAAGATTGTTCTTACCTGCAGGCTAAACATTCCTGTCCTTTCTCCTATTAATTCTTTCTATAGGTATGAATTCTTTCTATAGGTATTATTCCCTTTCGTGTGTATCCTGGGCAGTTAGCTCACGGTTTTGGAAGTGCAGTTCAGGGAGCAGAATACACCATTCCATCAAAGGCCTAACTAAAGATCAGTAAAGCAGAAAGCAATACTTGTGGATAAACATCTGAGTATGTCTTTATCTGTTTTTTGGCAAGAGCAGTACTTTGTTGAGTCATATTCAGCTAGTGATTCATTATTATCTGTTCTTGGACAAAAAACATAAACAAGGTTTATCCCTAAGGATAATCTTATATGAGACAGTCCTATATACTGTCCTATATACCCTTCAGGACTAATTTATGGGAATTCTTGATGGCACTTAGCTTTGGTCTAAATGAAAAAACCAAAATTTTTCTCTCAGTTCAGGTACATGAATCACATGTCTGGAGTATCACTTAGCCCTTGTATCACCATAAGCACTACTTTTTCTTATGTAAGAGTGACAGTTTACTGGATGCCACCCTTCCTGCTCAAAACACTTTGCTAGTGAGGGGGCTGAGTTTGGAAACTTTTTTCAGCCTTTCCTTTTCCTGTAACCCTGGGAAGGCGATGTGCTATGGAAAACATGCACGTGTTTGTAGTCTAAACTCTACGCTCAGAGTTTCTACAGAGCAGAAACTGTAGACAAAGCTGAGCAAGTTTTGAAAATGTGCCTCTTTTTAAGTTTTACTTTTTTTCCCATGTTTTGCATCAGACGATCTAGACTGCAGAGAATCACAGAACACCCTGAATTGGAAGGCACCCATAAGGAATATTAAGTCCATCTCCTGGCCAGACAGGGTTTAAGGACAGGACACCCTGAGAACCCATCCATGTGCCTGAGAACATTGTACAAAGAGTTCTTGAACTCTGTCAGGCTTGGTACTGTGATCACTTCTTTGGGGAGCCTGTTCCAGTGCCCAACCACCCTTTGGATGAAGAACCTTTTCCTAAAACCCCACCTAAACCTCCCCTAACACAACTCCAGGCCATTCCCTTGAGTCCTGTCACTGGTCACCAGAGAGAAGAGATCTGTGCCTGCCCCTCCTCTTTTCCTCACAGGTAAAATTGTAACTGCAGTGAGGTCTCCCCTCAGTCCCCTCCAGGCTGAACAGACCAGGTGACCTCAGCTACTCCTTGCACGGCTTCCCCTTCAGACCCTTCACCATCCTCACAGCCCTCTTTTGGACACTCTCAAATAGTTTCATGTCTTTTTTATGTTGTGGTACCCAGAACTGCCCCCAGCACTTGAGGTGAGGCCACCGCAGAGCAGAGCAGAGCAGAGCAGAGCAGAGCAGAGCAGAGCAGAGCAGAGCAGAGCAGAGCAGAGCAGGACAATCCCCTCCCTTGCCCAGCTGGTGATGCTGTCCCTGATGCCCTCAGGACACACTTGGCCCTCCTGGCTGCCAGGACACTGCTGGCTCATGTTCAACTTGAACCCCAGAACCCCAGGGCCCTTTCCATGGCACTGCTCTCCAGCATTCCCCAGTCTGTCTGTAGAGCCAGGGCTGCCCCATCCCAGGTGCAGGATCCAGCGCTTCCACTGGCTGAACTTCATATGGCTGGTGGTTGCCTATCTCTCTCTCTCTAACGTCTGTGAAATATCTCAAACTTTAGATTTCCCTTTTCAGTCTCTCCAGAATTACATGAGCTAAGAAAGTTTTAAATATGTCTTTTAAAAATGTTTTCTTAAATATGTACTGGTTTTCCAAGATTTGGGCTCACTTTACACTGAATGTGAGGAATAATAGGAAAAAATAATGAAAATGCTTTATTTTATGATCTCCAGGTGCTATTATTTCAGTTCATATATACAGAACCATTGGGACTGTTAGCAGGAAAATTCTTTTTGTGTGTTTACTTGATGATGAATTTCCAGATACTCTAGGCATTGTAAAAACAGTGCAGA